CCATGGACGTGAAGATTCGCGATAGAATCGCAAGATTTCAAGCTGTGATCTTGGCCTTGAAACCCAAAATGTTATGCACGTATGTGCATGCAACTACTTGTTACCAGTAGGCACTATATTCTTATTCTGATGTTTCGTGTCTCAACGAAATGTACAGGAGGCTTCGAATTGCTTGACTCAGCTTCGTTGACACTAGAAATGAATATCTTCTTGGCCTTCGTCATCGTGATTATCAATGCTGTCCTCTGGGAAGGATGCAGTAGAAAACATCACGAGGGTCCATCCTGAGCGCTGATACAGATCCTTCGGTCAGGTAGTCAAACCTGGACGACCACTAGTCCCACACAAACTCCTGGACCGGCTCCGATCGGTACATTCGCGGTGAACATCTCCTTGTCACCTATAGGCTCCGCATCGGCTGGTCTCACTACCTCAAATGCAGACCCCAATAAGTTGCTCATAACGAGGCTGTAAGCCGATCGTTCTTGCACACCACTCTTAGCTTAGATTCTTATTAATATATCTCTAGATTCCTTGTATTGGAAACTACGCCTCCCGAAGTGCTGATCAACGCCACAGTGGACGTGCGGTTTCACATGGAAGGACCCAGGGTTGTTCTGAACGACTTGAACCACTTCCCATCTGATGTACGGTCTTTTATCGAAAGTAAGTCTCAGGACCGCCGTGATATTCCATATAACGAGGCTGTATGTAGAGAAGTGTTGAGGACCCGTTCCTGTTCAGGTACCATCGTCACATATATGCCGCCTGACGAGATCCAGATCAACATTAGATCACCAGTCGTATTCAGTGTTACGCTCCATCGTGCTTCGTCCCGAAGGAGCATGGCAGTTCGCGAGGCGCTGCTTTTCAATGCTGTTTAAAAGCTTCAATGCTTTCAATGCTACTCTATAAGCAAGGTCTCGGTCGAATTATTCTTAATGTGGGATGGTGACACTACTGTACAATATCACAAGAGGGATATCACCCCATCTCCTTCTGTTCGAGGCATCACTTGTCTTTAAACTATTAATGTGTCTAAACTCTCACCATGCTTTTTGTCTTCATTACACCCTCTTTAGAGGGGACTGGGTATGAGTCTGTTGCGAGATACGACGAGCCTAGCGGTATCCTAGCTTCTCATTGTGTTGTGTTCGGGTATAACGGAGAATATACCTCAGGCAAGCTCACACTTTGGGGAGATGATTCGGTCTTTAACGTGTCGTAAGTCCTCCAAACCAGCCTATGGTACTTCGTATGACGGTGGAGCCTTGAACTGATGAGTTTCAAATTGAAACTTTCAATGAATCATGTTGTTATATGTTTATCGTCTTAATTACTGAGGTCAGGTAGCAATGCTACCGTAGCATGGAGAAAGCTCGGTGCTCGATGCTCAGTTGCATTCTCATTCATGTGGTTTGTGGTGGACTGTTGTGGCATCACTTGTGTAGTTATCGCTGATCTACTCCTTAGCTCGGCATACTATACTGTTGGGTATCGAATATTATGGACGTGGATGCACACAGAAGGGGAGGGTTATTGGCCTTCAGTCGCATTCGCTATGTTCAACCTCATTTTCGTGAGCATCATCTCAACCATCCTTCGGTGCTTGATTCGGCCTCACTGTAGGTCCTCTCCATATGGTCCCATGTTGCGTGTATGCTGACGGACCCAGGAACGGTAGTAAGCTTGTTTCGGTGTTACGACTGCTTACTTTCGCGAACTCGCAAATGCATACGAAGTCGAAATAATGGCACTCGCAGAATATACTATGCGAATCCTGAATGGTAGCGGTATCCTTCATACTAAAATTTGAAATCCAATTGTCACCACATACACTCATCGTGCGATTGGGCCCGATTGGGGAAGATGCTACGGGAAGATGCTGATTGGAGAAGATTCGGGTCTATCTCAGGTGCCGCTGAATAATAAAGGAGTGGAGGACTTGGAGGCTGGCAAGTGTGCTGGTGTTATTGAGATGGGCTCACGCGACATAGAGTAATAATTAATTTCTACCACAGTGTCACGAGGCCTTTCCGTTAGACATCGCTCGGCGAGTACAAGCCCAGCAACACAAACATTGTCGAATGTCAACGACAATGCTCAGGCGTGTCGAGATCCCCAGCACTATTCGCTGGCTGACGGCGGCAGTTCTAGCGGTAATGCGGCGCCTAAACGGCGGTATTGTAAGCGATGTAACATCCCCAAACCTCCACGAGCCCATCACTGCAGTAGGTCATTGGAGTCGACCCCTAGGGGCATGGAATCTTTTATATTCAGGCACGTGCAAAAGGTGCGTGCTGAAGATGGACCATCATTGTCCCTGGGTTAACAACTGTGTCGGAAAATGCAATCAAAAACACTTCATGCTGTTTCTACTGGTTAGTGGCGGTCACTTTCCAAGCTCGATTCTTATACTCTCTTTCAGTGTAGGAATGAATGTTCGTATTTCTCAGCTGAGTCCAGCAGAAGTTTCCTCACTAATTATAGGAGTTTACATACAAACTCGGGTGAAGCGTACGGAAACCAATGGGAATTTCCTCAAAATTTCCACGAATGTCACCTACACATGTAGTTAACTATGTGCATATTTTCCCACACCGCTCTCTTTTCTCAGTATGTGGCAGCGCTCTGTGGCGTGTCGTTTCTCACCATCGTAGCCCGATTGCATCACTGTCGCAATAAAGAGCATTTTATACCGCCCTTGGGAAGAATCGGACCACCGGACCAAACGGAAAGGGCGACCGACGTGTGCATTATCGACGGACCCTTGATTGGTTTTGGAATTGTAATAACTCACTTGTTGTTTTTCTTTCATTTTTCCTCAGTTGACTTTCTTCTTCGCGTTGGTCTTCGGCCTTTTCACCGTCATCATGCTTTGCGACCAAGCTTCGGCGATAATGTAAAAGTGGGGAAAATCGTTCGACTCGCATCGGTGTTCAGTCACAATCAAACTGGAATCGAGCAGTTGCAGAATATAAGCGGCCCCACTCAAAGTTGGCGAGAGAACATAAAGGAAGTTTTCAAGGAGGGGACGGCGACTACTCGTGAGGGCCTCTGATGGTGCTAGCCACTAGGCTATTCACTCCATATCAGGGCTTCCGACCTTCCTAGCGATGCTATTACCTCTACCGACCAATCGGAGTCGTGCTCCATCCAAGGGCCTCGAGTGATTGCTCGACGCTATTTTGTATTCAACCGTATTATGCATCATTGTGTACCCTTAGGCTCTTCTGACAGCTTTTCTTGCCCGTCGTGTGTTGTTGGTCAATTGGTGGGATCTCAAGGAACAGTACCAACTGATTAGACATAACGTCTTAGGACTTCACCCATGATCGATGAGAATGTGCTACGACGTCGTCGAGTGAATCAGCAGCTTCAGAATCGGTGTTGGAACATATGTTCGCTTTCCTCAACTGAGCTCGGAATTTTCCTCACTTGTTATAAGGGTTTCTATACGAGGTGGGGTAGAACTGTATGGAAACCAATGAGAATTTCCCAAAATTTCGTCAAAAATTTCATACCGTCGCCCACACATGTAGTTGACTATGTGCATACTTTCCAACACTGTTCAGAAGGGATACAACCTATTCTGCTGTAATACCAAGAACGAACTCTCTAAATTGAACATCTTCCTACCTTCTTACAGCAAGAAGTGAAGCGAGAGAATGTCAAGATCAGCATTCATGCGGTCAGGTGAGTCGGCACAGTTCTGGCTTTGACCTATACTTGTTTCCGATACGGTGCTGACCTTCTGTGGTGAGCCCTAGTGATGGGGTAACGGGTATTCAATCAATTGTTTGGGAGGACAGGCCAGAGCTGTGACCATCGCATATGATGTAGAAGGCGATGAGACAGCTCTTGACAGTAATTTAATACTCATTGAAGTGTTTCCAATGACATTCACCGTGTACGTTGTTCTTAATAAGATATGAATAAGTAGAGCTGAGTGACAATAGACTCGCAAGCGCCCTAGCTTCTATTCTCATTGTCTCCTATGCTCGATAAACCAGTGGGGGATAACTACACTCGCATGGTCACTGAGGTGAGCTCTTCGGGGTAGTCGGTGGCGAATGTCTTGTGGTACTAGGGCAAGATCCTGGCGGATCCGCTGACAAGAGGGGTGAGGCCAGCAGGGAAAAGTAGGGTCCAACCCCGCACTCGCTGGTCAGCTCGTGCCCCTAGGTATTGCGGTTTTCGATGATTCTGTCGAGCGCGACCTGCAGCCGGACATGTACTTTCCGGCGGCTCCTACTCCTACTGGTAGCGTCGGCGAGTCGTCCACTGTTGTGAGAGCCTCCTTTGCTGGTCAGAAGAAAAGAAGTACAGAAGAGACTACGAGCCTGGCAAGATGAATGTACATTGGGGAATGGTAGACTTGGAACGAGAGACGGACCCCAAGGATATCATTCACGGCATCAAGTCGCTTACTGGAGAAAACGCTGAGAAGACTATGAAAGTGAGGGAATTCTCTCCGTGATCTGAGCAGGGTTCATCTCAAGGGGCTAGCATGAGTGCTTGGGATCGCATTCCATTCGAGGAAGCGTGAAAGATAACGTATGTGTCTGTAGTATCATGCATTGGTAGGCCCAAGAGAGAGTGGGTGTTGAAGCTTACATGGATGAGTGTGCTGAGCAAGTGTATGCCTCTACCAAGCGGGAGCCTTTGGGGAAGGCCTATATACGAGGACACGAGTTGCCAGAAGTCACTAAGGCGACCTCGTTCAAGGGTGAGCTGGTTCCACCATAGTATAAGCAATCGAATACCACTGGCTTTCGATGCTCCTGGACACTCCTAGGAGTTTTCGTGACGTCGCATCGTCCGATGGTCCGATTGCAGACCCCCGGTGGATTTCTGGTCCGCTGTTCGCAGCTTGTTCTGGCAGGCTTTGGCTTCAAGCCCCCGGATTCGGAATTCAATGCTAAGGAGAGTATCTTCCCTGTTGATGTTGCTAGAGAGGAGACGCCTGCTGTACAGGAGAGGTAGCGATGCTTCGACGACTGGCGAGGCTGCTGGAGATGATGATTGTTGATAGCAGTCATGACTAGAACCCCGTGTATCCCTCCGTGCCAGGTTCCTCATGTTTGGTAGCAGCCTGTGTCCTGTCAGATACCGATTAACTCACAACGACTATCGGTGTGGGGAGATGATCAGTCGTGACTACGAATGGTGACTAACGAATCTGCACACTCCTTGAGATGTTCGTCGTGTGGTAGGCCGGAAGAGACGGAGAATTCCTACTTCCGATTTGGAAAGACAGAGAAGGCTAAGCTTCCAGCTGGAGAAGGAGCGAAGCAGGCTTTGATGTACACTACTTCTTTGGTCTTTTTCGGCAGTTTCCCTGTTGTCAGTTGGAACCCCGCGAACGAGAAGACTAGAATCGTGGGCTTGCGGGCTGAGGCAGCGCGGGAGGTTCTCAATGAACCTCTTGGTGAGACAAAGAATCTCATGCAGGTGGGAGGAGCGAAGCCCTGCTATGACGGAGTGGTGTTTCTGTCTTCTTATAGGGTCCGCTGCCTGTGCCGGAAGGATTCGTGTTTGGCGTTAAGTCTGGTGAGTATCTCCCGCAGTGGCTTCGCAATTCCGCCGTTCGTTGACCGTTACTGATGCTGGTGAATTCCTGTCTGCATGGCCTTCCCCTAGCTGGGACAGTGTGAGGAAATATGCTCATGGCCACCTGTCCAAAAATTCCGAGGCAATTCTCGTTCGTTTTTCGACCATTTTCACTTTGAGTAATGTGTGATACATATGTCTATAATGCAGTTGAGGGAGATTCTTTTCTCAGCTAAGGGAACCAAATATATACTCCAACACTGCGCTGAGGTCTGCTTTGCTTCTTAGGTACTGTAAAAGCAAGCTCCACTGACAATATCACGGCAGCTGACTGCATACACTATAACGCTTCAAACGAAAAGGAAATTCTACCCGATGCGGACCTTGGAAAGTAGGTCCTGCATGAACGTTGGAGAGAGTACCAACGGCATCAGATGTATGAAGCGTGGCAAGCGAAACGTCACTGAGGAACTCCGTCATTTCGGTCGCCCTAGCATCAGGACTGATATCCCGAAGTGAGCAGAAGACGCGTTACAGTAAATGTGAATAAGCCTTCTGCCGGAGTTGAACCGACGACCTCCCGCTTACTAAGCGGGTGCTCTACCAACTAAGCTAAGAAGGCTTAGTGTTTGAGATCTCTTGTTTCTTCTCTTTCCATTAAGAGTTTCAGGCCTAAAGTAAGGAGCGTAGCCGACATACAGAACTACGGCGATGAGGTTGGCTGTGACAGCTTACTGCATCCTCAGAGGTACCCATCGTAATCCGTCTCACGAAAAAAGGCGCTCCCATAGCAGAAGAGAATAACTGAGATTAGCTGCGTCATGCCTGGCTAACGCATATGAAACTCTCCTTACCACTACACTCCACTTGTATCCCATCCTCAGATTCGAGTCAATGGGTGTCACAGATGAGCAGTTCTTACAGCGCAGATCCAAGGAGGAATTGCGGTATCGTCGACGTTACTCGATGGATCGCGCAGACAAGCCTCGTTCCCGTCCTCAGTTCGATCGTGCAGTTGGTATTGCCGACTAAGTATGCACCAGATAAGGAGTCAAAGAACATCCTGTTCGAGAAGCTTTGGCCTGAGGTTAGCACCTTGTGTTGGAAAGAAAGGACATCCACACTACGTTGTTCAGGCCGTTGCCGTGTATGGGGATGAGGAGGAACTTGCCTCTCTGGACAGTTTCTTCTACGTCTTCACTCAACTGGTCGTAAAGCCTCGAATGAAGAAAGAGACGAGTATGGCCTGATGCATCTTCTACCGTAACTCTGTGAGATCTTGCATAGTTCGGTTGTTCATTCAGGAAGTTTGGAAACGATCTTCGCTGAGTATCGCAAGGAATAGCAAGTTGATGATGCCACTATGAATAGCATTCATGGATCATGTTGTCCACTCGTGTTGGCGGTGTGCTCAGGTGTATGCTTGTGTTTGAGTCTGTCATATTCTGTACGGATACAACAACAGCGTATGAAGATGTGGCGATACGACTATGGGTCTGTACTCACTGATAACTACCACGTCGATCTCGTTGTTGATAAAGGGTGGAGTGTGATCGTGGCCTGCTCATCCTTGCCATTTCTAGGGAACATCAGAGTGTCGTTTCCAGTAATGGTTGGTACAATATTCGATACAGAGGTTTTCATTCCGAAGTATGAGCGACTGTTACCTCGTCCCTACTGTAAAGAAACACCACATTCCTTTCAATGTACAACCATCTCACAACCGTCCCCTACATGATTCACAGACAGGTTCCCGAAGGAGTGGTAGGAACAAATCGGACATGCTGAAGCCTAGTATGAGCCAGCACTCAGCCGCAGCATTGCACTGATGCTGTTCTTGTTAGCACCGAGCCTCGTCATTTCCGTCTTCTGCTTAGCAGCCATAAGCCTCTCGCCTTGACCTATATCCACCCCGTATCTATCAGGGTCGATCGTGGTCAATAACGTCGGCGCCTTGTTGAGCTGCGGAGTTCGCATTGCATGCTCGACATCACATAAGAACTGTTGCTGATGGCCCAGAATCGATCCTGGGCGACAGATTCTGTTCCAACCGATCCATGCTCGAGCTCGAAAACCATATCGCTTCATAGCATAGAGACCAATGAGGCAGCCAGTACGGCCCAGGCCCGCTTTACAATGCACAGCTATTACTCCAGATGGAATAGACTCGACAGCATTGAAGAAGTGACTCATTATGGATGGTGATGGGCAAGTCCCGTCGGGGAAGTAGAGGTCCATGTGGGCGAATCCTGCCGAAGTGAAGCGATTCCGATCATACAATTTATCGTTCAATCTGACGATGAGTTCAACACCCATAGACTTGAATACGGCGTGGAAATCCTCCGGTATGTGGGCCGGGAAACCACGATTATCCCTTCGTTCGTTTTGAGGGCTCGAAAAAGCCAATATTTTTCGTGGTATTATCCAGTTTAGATCGCCGTTCTGGAGACTGGCATAGTAGTTGTACTCATTGATATCAAATCTGCATGGATCGTACCAACCCAGCAGGTAAGCGTACTGTAGACCGCAGAGGCAGTCGAGAATCTAAAATGACCATCGTAACTCGACAAGGAGGTGACCCTGCTTTCCTCACAGTGCAGGGATAAGGACAGTCTCCTATCGAGGCATCTCTGAAAGGCATCACGCTTGGGTATCCACTCTCAAGACGGTCCAATGCCTCTGCTGGAGAGAGCTTATGGAAAAACATCAGATATGCAGAGACTAGGAGGACCGCGTTCGGACCTGATCAAGCAACAAGTCATTGAATGGCGCATCACAGTCAATACGCTTCTCTGGGTGACTGCTGCAGTAGTGTACCACTAATCTATCCTCCCGAGCGCCGCTTTCGAGTAAAGATCTCAACTAACACCAAACAGATCGAACCAAGACAGTGATTTCTCCCCTTACTTCGAGTAGGTATGTTGTGATCTGTGCCAAGTTGAGCGGCCCGAAGTCCTTGTAAAACCTGTTATAGACGAGTTCGTTATCTATGTTCAGTAATATTGGCTTCCTCCTCGCCGTGGGATCAGTGATAGGGGGACCGTCGAACACAGTAAAATAGAGCCGCTGTGGGATCAACTCCTTCACAGGCCAAGACGAGTAAAGACCAATTTGTCTTTTGACGGCTTCATCCGGTAACCAGAATTTGACATGCCTTTCTGCGGTTCGCTTGGGTTTCGCGCTCGAAGACAGTGCTGAATGTGAAGGCAGCAATGATGGTGGAGGTAGAGTCATCCTAGTTTGCCAGTTTCGAACTTGCAGCTCGGAGGGTCGCCCAGCAGATTTCCCATCAAAGCCATAAGGTGGCGGTCGCCTTGTGGTAGGATCGTGTTGGGCGAGAATTATAGGCGCGAGAACAGATAGATGCAGTGACTGCTGTGGAAGTCACAATGCGCACGAAACCACTTTGCGCACTGTTTCCCAGGGCGGCCCGAATTTCGAGCGGTGTTTCGCGATGAGGTTCCTTTGGAATTACACACATTCCGGGCAGATGCTGCACAGAGTGATCTACCTCGTGAGAAATAACCTCGCCTAGGAGCTGGTGCATGCACTCAAGCTAGGTTGGAATTCTGAAGCTACTGTGAAATTATCCACTTATTCAGCTGCCGAATTGAAACAGACTTGTTGAGCACCACCCTCCCCCCGATATTCAACTGACTGACCTCAACAAGTAGAGAGCTGCTCCCCTCGGGTCACACCGACTATGCAGCCGTCAACTCCGGCGTAGTGGTGTGTACATTTCTGCGTGCTTTTAGCTTGCACCACTATATTCGTTCGTGCCATTTTCCTGGCCAGCTTTTGTCGTTCAGCGTTATGAAAACGAGATCGCGATGATTCTGTCATTCTATATATGAACAGTGACTGTCGCAGGCAGATACCGTAACTCTGTATATCCCACAGTGTCTTCTGCCCCTCGACTCTGTATTTGACTCAATTATCTGGCTGAGTGTCTCTAATCCTGAGAGTTGCTGTCCGGTTGCTTACTAATTCAACAACGCACAAAGCTGTGTCCCGAGCTAGCGCGACTTCTTTGAACGCAACTCGGTTGCAATCCAATCTGTGCCATCGTCCATAATATCGGTCCAGTTTGTTTGCCACATCACTGTTGGTCATTTTATGTCGGGTAGTGCCACTAGGCGGGACTATGGGCTGCAGAAGTGCATAACATACTCTGTGCTAAGCATGTTGGGCTTCGGTATTACTAGCTACGTCATGGCGTAAGTAACCATACGACGTGCGTGTTAGAATGATTATCGCATTAGATTGGCTACTGCTATATTGGAGAGATCGATCGAGAAGTATTACTGGGTCGGCGCTGAATGGAAAATGATGGCAATAATTTGGCTTTCAGCGAGTCTTCCTGGTACGTGAATACTCCTGGCTGCCTCCTCTCGTGGTCCTGTAACTTCCACAATACTTTCTTAGGCGCGGTCTGTTATGTCTATCACTGGGTCAAGAACAAGCGTGTGGAATTCTTCTGGAGTGGTGACAGTGCTGGGCGAGACGATAGGATCACGGTGAAGACCAAAGTGCTATCGCTCTTGGGAGGGATCTTGTTGGGACTCTCCCTGACCCTGATGAAAAAAGCATTTGTCTTTACAAGCCCTGCTGAAAAAGGTAAGTGGCAACAACAGGTTTTTCATGTGACTGCCGCGACATTCAATGTGGTAGGTCCCGTGACAGCAATCTCGGGAGCAGCAATCATCGTTGTTAGCTTGTATGGACACTTCGTCTTTGGCGAATTGCTCACGAGGAAGCATGTCTTTCTCATTATCATGGTGGGCTTGCTAGTTTGACAGTATCTTGGATCTTCTCTTAATGCGTTTGTCAGATTCTCGTTGGTGTTGTGATATCATCCCTAGGATCAGGGAGTAGCGACGAAATCGTCACATCTGCTGTTGCCGCTACTGACTACAACCCATACGATGCCTTTTCTACGTTCATCCACAGAGAAAACGCTATCTTCACGCCACAGTCGTCTGTAGCGGATACCGACCATATACTGGGCTTTACATTTGCAGTAAGAGCATCACGTATCTCATCAGTATCCATTTAGTATAGGCTGTGTTCGTAGCCGATCGTACTAGGACTCCCTCAGGTATTGGCAATGTTTTCTATGTCGGGCACAACGCTTTTGATACGCTACAGTGCCATAGGTAAGATAGGATGAAGTATCCCTGTTGTAGTATCTGTTCACATTTCAGGTAATGTA